GTCTTAGGAGTGGAGCAAAAGGGGAAAGAGTTGGTCCTCTTCTTCCACTGGAAGCTTCTCCTCCGCTACTTCCTTCGGTGGAACCTCCTCCGTCTTGGAATGGTCCAATGTCGAGGAGAGGGGAGGGGAGTGAGAGACGGAGGGGTGAGGGAGAGGTGGGAGACGGAGGGGAAAAAAATCGTATAATTATAAAAATATTAATAAAAACTTAAAAAAAATAATGTAAAAATTTAAATATAAAATAATTATTGTTTAAAAGGCTGACATGACATTTGACATAGTATTTAAATGATATGTACGTACACATCATCGACACGTCATCGACTGTACCGATACCCCTCATTTATCAGGGGTACAGAAGCAACCCCCAAATTTGAATTCAAGATGGGTACTAGTGTCTTCAGTTTTGCACAGCTCACAATCACACATTCTCTCTCTATATATACCCCCAATGCGGTCCCTCTTGGTTTCATTCACTCTTCACTCTTCCGTTCCCTTTGCCTGCAATTCCAATTCTCTCTCCCTCTCTTTCGCTTTTCACGCAACCGTTTCCCCTTTTTTCGTCTCCCTTCTTCTCTCGCTAGGGTTAGGTTTTCGTGTGTGACTATGAGGTTGAGGGAGGACGTGCCTTGTAAAAACGATGACGTTAGTGCCGAGAAAGAGGAACTCATAGAGAAGGATTTAACCTTGCCACAAAATCAATGGTGTCCCGTGCTGAATGCGGGCTTTTCTTCCCCTAAGAGACTCGTTGTCGTTGGCTATGCTCTCACTACTAAAAAGATTAAGAGCTTTTTGCAGCCTAAGCTCGAAGGTTTAGCTAGGTAAACCGAGCGTTCTTAAACCTAAACCGCTAATTCATCGTATCATCCTGCGATTTGATTTCTTAACATTAAATCAAATAAATCGTTTATTCTTCTTCCAAAAGGTTAATTTCAATTCGCAATTCAACCGACAGAATTTATACGATTGGTTGTTTTCAATTAATAAGGTTCTTCCGCCACGCGTCGTTTTCGTTAGGCTGGCGAGAAAGCGAAAGAAAATATATGTGATCCTCGGAGAATCTGTTCAGAATGAGAGATATTTTACCAATTTTTGTTGTTTTTACGGGGATTATAGGAATCCGTGCTATTTCTGAAAACCTTAAAAGATTTGTCTAAGTGCCTAACAAATTCTGAATTCAATTATACCTAATTTGTTCTATAGTGTCATCCCTGATTTATGCTTTAATAATGTTGTTTTATACTTTTTAATAACTATGACCGTATTCCAGTACTCGGTTTGTTAATAATGATTAAAATTAAAATTATACAAATTTTTCGTGCAGGAACAAGGGAATTCTATTCGTGGCTGTTGATCATAATAGGCCTCTTTCAGATCAAGGTCCTTTTGATATTGTGTTGCATAAGGTTATAATTTTCCCTGCGCTGAACTTCCTCGTCCTCTCTCTCTAATTTGTTCTATGTTGCTTCTTACTCGCAATTCACACAAAAGATTCAATAATATACTGTGTTATTTGGTCGTAGTTCCATTTAACATCTCTAATGATAACTTGTTCTGTTCAATTTCGACTGATTCTTCCGTTTTGTTTCTCGGAAAATGCGGTAATCGGGGAAAGGGTGCGGCCGGGTTCTTTGGGTTGGTCCCCCCTCCTTTTTTATTTTCCTGCACGTGTTTTTATTGTGTTGTTCAATCCAATCATAATAATTATGTTTGCAGCTTGTGTTGTTTCTTTATGCATTTGATGCTAACTGGGATGAAGAAAGAAAACGCTGGAAAGGCTGGTCAACCACTAGCTTTTTAAACTTGCTGTCTGACATAATTTGTAGAGTCTTTGTCCGCTATCTGTCATTATGAATCATGAACCAGTAGTTGAGGTCGAGACCTCAAGGTTCGTGCAAGTGAGGGTGCTACTACTTTCATGGCCATCTAACTGATTTATCAGGTTTTATATGGCAAATATTTTCCAAAGATTTTCCCTTTTGAATTTGTTGAGGCAGGTTCATTTCTCCTGGGTGCAAGGATACCCTTCTGGCTAGTTAAGAGTAAAAAACAACTTATCAGTTCCGCTCTTATATTCCAATCCTCTATACTGTGGGTTTGTTGTACTTATAAACTGGATTTGGAATAGTGGCCTAAATTGCAAGTTACTACCCTAACTTTTCTCATCGGTGGACATGAATTGTGGTGACTATCTCCCCCATTTCATTAACAATGGTTGCTGCCTGGTCTATGATAATACTTCTCAATTGTACTGTACATATGCGTGTCTGACAATATCTGTCTTTTCTCAAATTTGTGTCTACAAGTCTGCAACTAATTATACGAGTTTATAACTTGTATGAATTGGTGCTTTCTTATTTTCATTTTTGATATGATATATAATGAGTAAAAGGTCAAACAAAACAGTCTCTTTTTGTTTGTTGCCTTGATCTAGAAGTCCTCTATATTCAATTTGTCGTACTCACTATCTCATGATTATCAGTTGTTCATCAATTAGGGTTAAGCTTTCATGTTTCCATGAATGAGAGTTGACTCAGGATGCCTCTATGTTCTATGACTCAGAGTCTTGAACATTGCATGTTTCTTGCGAGAGCTGTTTCTTACTTTCCGAGAAACTGTTAACTAAACTAAGGATTCTATTTAGATGGATAAATGTTCTGAGAATTCTTTAGGAGAAAATAAATGCTGAATTTGTGCATGTTTGGCTGTTTATTCACAGCCCATTCTATGCAGTTATTTATAATAGCTAAAAACTCGGTGACCTCTTTTCTAAGTTTTTATCTTTCGGATATATTTTAGGATTATAGGCAGTCACATCCAGAAGTTACTGTTCTAGATCCTCCAGATGCCATACAACATTTGCGCAATCGTCAGTACATGCTTCAGGCTGTTGCAGATATGAACCTTTCTGATTCCTATGGTAAATTTTTTCCTCTCTGCCTTGATTATAGACTGTGGTAGAATGGAATTGCTATTTAGTAATGCTGTATGTTCAACCATGCTGAGTTAGTAGCTAATGAAGTTTCTCATATTAAATATGCATACAGGCATAGTCGGTGTTCCTCGTCAATTAGTTATCAAGAGAGATGCATTAGCCATCCCAGAGTTGGTCAACAAAGCTGGCTTGACTTTACCCCTTGGTATGTATATGTTGGTTTTTCAACTACTTTTAGATGCTGCAGTTATGCGATTTGTCAGAGCATGGACGCATCGACATTTATTGTTACGAGGGTTGTGTTTTTGAGGCAAAGTCATTAGAACTTATGAAAATAGGCATGGTAATCCTATCTATTTTTGTGTCTGATTAGATTACTTAATTTTGTAATGCTTAATTTCAACTTTCCTTCTTATTTTTGCAACTTCAAAATCATTTTAGTTGCAAAGCCACTAGTTGCTGATGGAAGTGCAAAATCCCATGAGTTATCCCTTGCTTATGAGAAATACTCCCTTCAAAACCTTGAACCTCCACTTGTTCTTCAGGAGTTTGTTAACCATGGTAAGCAGTTGTTGTTTGTTTAGCTATTTTTAACTATTAAATGGCCAGAAGCCACTCATGTTAAAATGAATAACACATGCTGTTTTATTTTTGGTTTAGGAGGTGTTCTCTTCAAGGTTTATATAGTTGGTGATGCTATAAAGGTTGTTAGACGGTTTTCATTACCTGATGTTGGCAAGTGGGAACTTTCTAAAGATGCTGGAATATATCGTTTTCCAAGGGTTTCTTGTGCTGCAGCTTCAGCAGATGATGCAGATCTTGACCCTACTGTTGCTGGTAAGTTATCATGTCTTGACCAAAAGCTTACTATTTATTTTTTCGAACTTCAAAACTATTTCACATTCTCACACCTCAAGAAAGGAAAAATGCCTACTTAGAATCCAGGTCTTGTCCCAGCCATTCACAAAAACGTAAGAGAAACCAGTTCCTGGTTGATATTCTGTCATCCTAAAAATCATTTAGTTTTTTGACTGTATAATTGAATTTTTGTCTGGCCTAATATCGGCATATGGGGAAGGGTGTTGATCTAACTTTGGCAATTGGAAATCTAAGCTTAATTGATTAGGTTATTAGTACATTCACTGTTGGATGGAATAGAAATGGATTGCGGTAAGGGTGCTAGTATCCAGAGTTAAAAAATATATATGCTGCAATTTGCAAGTCTTCATAACTTAACTGCATTTAGTCTCCTGATTTTCGTCATCATTTTTCTCCCTGCAGAGCTTCCTCCAAAACCTTTACTGGAGAAACTGGCCAAGGAACTTCGATGGCGTTTGGTAACTTGCTCTTTCCCGTGATTCAAGATTTCATGTTATTGATACAGGGACAACTATAATTATGCTCTTTGTCTTTATTTAATTGTAGGGTCTTCGTCTATTCAACCTGGATATTATTCGCGAGTATGGAACAAGAAATCACTTTTACGTCATTGACATAAACTACTTCCCTGGTAAGAGGAGATATTGAAGATCTTGCTGTATACCTTTTTTTTTTTAGAGATGAAAGCAACACTATTTTTTGACACACTTTTGATATTCTTTATGTCCATGAAATCACATGCCCCACTTTTTCTTCGAGAGATGATAGCAACACTATTTCACCTTGTTATAAAAAGTATTGAAAAGAGAATGTCAAAAAAGTTCGTTCATAATACTTTCTTTTGATACTCTACTTCAAGCTCATTTATAATCATCTAGATTCCTATCTTGTACTTGTGTGACTTTATTTTACTTGTACACAAAATGATTAATCTTCAATTTTGTGAGAATATCTAGAGTTGTCTATGGAATTGGTATTAAGAATGTTAAGAGTTCCATTACTTGTATGACTTTCGTTTAGAAGTCCTTTTTTGTTCTAAAATAGTCTTAAAATTGTTGCAGGATATGGCAAAATGCCAGAATACGAACACATATTTACAGACTTCCTGTTGAGCCTGGGGCAGGGGAAGTACAAGAAAAAATCGGGCTAAAGTAACTCTTTCCAGCCCTTTGATTTGTGTCCTCTCATAACGTAAGCACGCTCAAAATTATGAAGCTCAAAATTATGGCTGTATTCAAGTACTTAGAAACCATTAGTGCCAGGGAAAATTATGAAGACGTGTGTTTGGGGAACTTGGACCTGTACATAACAACTGGTAGTCTTATGTTGTGCGGAAACATTCTGTTGCCCTTCCAAAGTAACGAATGTTGTTGCAAATCCTGAAGTTCTAGCTGGTAGCTTGATGACCGAAAGGGGTCAAATACATGCAAGGCTGCAATTTGAAGGATTTGTGTTCGCACTGCAGTGGAGTTGTTGACCCTGGATGTTGATATGATCAACCACAACCACCATGTTTGATAAGTTGACGGATTTCAAATGTACTGACCGTTCTTTGCTGTATATAGGTATAAATCCTAGACAGTAGAAATCTAATGCAAATTCTCATCAAACTACATCTTTTTGCTCTTCAAATTTAATTTGTCTTCTATATTTTGGTTACAATGATCTCAGCTGAGAATATGTCGAACAAGTCCATAACTCTCCTTGCTCTTGCTTCTAAACTATAATGATCTCTAACCACCAGATTAACTGTTCCCTGTGCACAATTTCCCCCTCTCCGCTACTTATGTGGTGTAATGTATAAATTACTATGCTCAAGATAAGGGTATGTAAGGTAAAAAGGGCAATGTTCAGAATGAGATATTGTTTCCTTTAAAAGAAAATAGATTAAGCAAATTGTAATTCGTTGACATACTATCATGTATGGTAATTTTTAATTGATTGACATTGAAAGAAATTTATGTTGATAATTTGTAAAATCGTATAAACTATGAGTTAATCACCTCTACATTACGATGTAAAGTTCTTTTACATTGACAATTAATTATATTTTTTAATAGTGACATGTGAGTTGTTTATTTAATGAAATAATAATAAAATAAATAATTTTAAAAGATATGATTAGTTATCAGTGTAAAACTTTACACTGGCAGTATATGGATGATTAACTCGTAAACTATTATGTATGGTATTATAGGCACTCGAGATTACTTGTGGTCAATTAGTTGATAATCATTTAATTTAGTAAGGGTGAAAATAGGAGGTTTTGGTGGCATGAATATGGTTTATAACAAAATTTGCACGTTTGAGATTAGTTTATTCTCTGGTTATAATTATGGATGTAAAACACATTCTTACTTTTGAATATCTGGGGATAAATTTTATTATGGGTAGAAAATGAATATTATAAATGAATATATAGATAATGGGTGTAAATTTTTTTTTATTTTTTATATTCGTATGTTAATGGGATAAGTACAAAAATCATAATATTTGTACCTATTAGTACTCACTAATATTAAATTATATAAATAAATATTAAATTTGTTTAAATTTATAGGAATGAAACAAGTTTTTAGATTGAGAAATCTTAATTAATAAAATTGTATATAATATCTGAATAATTTAAGTTTTAATTTTTAAATAAAATAAATAAAAATTATTATTAAAATATATGGATATTTGTTTAATAGATACTTGGATATAAAAATTGATGCGGAACCGATATTTATCCAGCAAAGCGGATATTAGGGGCTAAACTGATTTAAAAGTGTATGTACCAAGTTTTGTTTTTCACAAAGCTTATAAATAGGTCTGAGGGGATCAATAGGCATGTAGGTTTATCTATCCTTCTTTGTTCATTTTCAAATTAAGTGTTTTCTTTGTTCATTTCTAAAGGTTTATCAACAAAAAATGCTTACAATTTTAAATTAAAATATTAGTATATTTCAATTAAGTCAATTTTATTTAATGTTTTTAATCTAAAAATACCATTACAGTAATAAATGAAAGTATTATCTATCATGAATGTGGTTAAAAATATTTAAGAAAATATTGTGTATATGTTATGTAAAATTGTAAAAAATTAAATGCATTTAATAAACTTTCTTAATTTATATGAAATTGATTATTTTTCTTATATATAAGTCTAAATAGTTAAAAAGAGAAGTGTTAATAATATATCCTTTTAAATACACTTTTTTAATTGATCAAACTTTATTGAAAAATATAAAATTTAAGTAATTTTACACCTTATTTAATTTCTCTTCACAATTTTATAATTTTTAATAAATTTTAACCAATAAAAAATGTATTACTAAAAATCCTCATCTAAAAACACATTAGCCGAGAAAAATATTGTTCTTCACTGTATAAATTGTCTGATAATTTATTTAAGAGCCATGTTGAAGCAATCTAGTTGAATTCTTTCTCTAAATGCGACAAGTATTATTTATTCTTTTGGATTAAGTAGATAAAAATACATTGACAATATAATGTTATTTTACACCGATATCCAATATAAATATACTGTATTTGGTATGTTTGGATTGAATAAGCTTGTTGAATTTTGATAATAATCATCTAAAATCTCATTAAAGTTTATTTTTAAATTGATTTATGGCGAAAAATCCTTTATACCGAAAATCTATGCCCATTTAAGGAACTAATGTAAAAATATATCAGAATATGTTTGAAGGGTATGAAATGGTATTAAGGTAATGCAATTTTATCTCCTAGATATAATATTTTTATTTAATTTATTCTTTCTCCTTTATACTTGGCAAGGACAGCTTTGTAGCAATGATACCCAAAAATATTGTTGTATGATCGATAAATTTCTTATAACCTTTATTTTTCAATAATAATTTTGTTTAAGTTTCTAACTTTCTACATTTTTCATTTGTTTAACTTCATCCAAATCTATGTTTATATTTGACTCATTTGAAAAAATGGCTAATTTTCGCCTCAACATTTTCTTTAAATGTTTTTCTTAACACTATTTATGAAAAGTCTTCTACAACAAATAGCATTATTGATTTGATATGCATACGTGTTAACTTTGTTTGAACTGGGATGAGAAATGAAAAGGGATAAGTAATACGTTGGCAATGCTAAGCTTTTTGGGTAAGAACATAGATAAAGATTAGGTAAATTCTATTACGTTTGCATATTTTAAAAGATACTAGTATTTTTTTAATAGATTCATAAATAATAAACCTATAATAATATGAAATCGATAATACGACTTATTGTTTAAAATCTTGTTATGTTTTAATTGCCAAATTACCCACCTTTATAATTACTTTTGTTATCTATTCCGTTTACGTTTATATATTATTTATGTTTAATATTGAATTTTGAAAAATTGAAATAAATATCGATGGATGGATTATTTTGCAATTATAAAACTTAAAGCACTAAATTAAATTTAACTCATTTTTGGTGCAATTTTTTTTTATAATATTTTTAATTTGAAAAGATACTGATAACCTTTTAAAATAAAAGGTACCGAAGCAAAAATCAAATGGTAAACACTAAAATTAGCTATTTCACACGTAGTGAGATAATAGGAAGAGTGTGATTTGTAAATATGACATAATGGAAGAGAAAAAATGATGAATAGGAATGAGATATTTGGGGTGATAAAGTGTTCACCCATTATTACTCTTCATGAAATTGTCTCCACTTCCACCCTGCATTTGGATAAGGTGATTTTATTTTTGGATAGAAATGTAAATTTCGAGAGAATTTGACACTTTTTATAAAAGCAACCTCTTTGGATGCTTAAGAATTTTAAAATTTTAGGAATTTAAATAAAAAAATTCTAATAGTTGGAATCAAGGAACTTAAGATCCCACCAATATAGGTGGAATTTCCGGAACTCACATGGAAAACTATCCCATTTTGACATCATCTTCTATAAAGTGTAAAGGCATATGGTTTTGGCAACTTAGTATTTTCATGTTAAGATTGTAGACCCCAACCCCCCAATAACTCCAATGGTCGTCTATGACCTTTCCTCCTCTCTAAGAACTATGTCGCAATATGCCTTATGATTATGCTCTGCCTTGCTGTTCTTATTTGTCACCAGTAAAAGTCCGGGGCGATAATTCCAGAGCATCAACTAACTTTTCCTAGATGTAGTGTTTTGGTTTTCATTGATTTGCTTGATGCTGACATGAAAATTTGGCGTGTTTTATTCCTTTTTATCATGAATCAACCCATACAATCAAGAATTGAATTCCTGGGAAGTAAATGAAATAAAAGAAAACATGAAAGGAAAAACGATATTGGTTTGGCCGTGGGAGAGGAGATAACCGAACAAGAAATTTTAGAAATTCGAACATTTCTGTTTTACACCGAACTCGATACCAGGCTTTTTTTTATTTTTTTTTAAGATAAAAAAGATTATAAAAATGACTGAATGAATCTAGGTCTTCATGTTTCTAATTATTACAATTTCTTTACATCCAACCACTAGACTAATTTTAGTGGTTATACACCTGTTAGGCTTACTCGAAAACTGCATGGTTCGAAATAGTATATAAGATTTCTCGAAAAAATATTATGAAATCAACACCTGCCAATAACAGATGCTTGAGATCGAAGAAAATCATTTCGAGATTGAACAATGATATGCTCGAAAATTAGTGAAGTTGTGTGGCGTGCTTATGGTCATACTAAGGTAGTTATCAAGTCCAAGTCGAGAAGTCAATACACATGGGAGAACGGTTATTAGAAGTTACAATTTAGAGCCACGTAATAAGCATAGTGAATAGCGGTTATCCTATAATGACCTACGTGCACGAAGTTAACCGTTGTTGATTGGCTCTATAAATTCAAAAGTTCTGCATCTTTACAGAGGTCGGAAAACTCATACTTGAACTGAACTCTCAAGCACTCACCGCCTGCGCATATGGCTTTCGTGCAAATAATCGTTTTTGGGTATGACCACTTCTCGGCCACTTTTATTTTCTCTTTTTAGGATTAGGAGTATTTTAGTTGTCTTTTCTTCTTTTAATCACTGTAACTCTTTAAAGTGATGTGACTGTAACTCTTTAAAGTGATGTGAACATGATTTGTATTGCAAATATTTGTATCGTTCATTCAGTTTATTTGAGAGTTTATATGCATGAATACTATTGCTTGTTAATTGTTGATGAATACCTGGAAACAAGTAATTATTAATCTTGCTACTCCATCTTTTAGTCTTCGTAAAATTTTAATATTGAAACGAATCACGTGCTAGTCCGAATATAAAGAACCCATAAACGAATTCCCCCGTAAACAATACCATACCAAGATTTACAATAACTCAATCTCGCACTGAAATAAAAAAATTAGAAATTTATTTTTTTATATCAGTAAAAAAAATACAATAATGATAAAGAAGATTGAACAATTTAATTGATTGATTAAATTTCTTTAAATTGTAAATTCATTTAAAAGATTGAATGTCTTATTCGGATAAAAAGAGTTTAAATTTTATACATTATTAGTATAAAAAGATATATTATCAACTAATTAGAAATTATCATTGTTATCATTTTTATAGTCAAAGTCAGTCCAAGAGTGCGGTCAATAAAATTCTTGTTTGAGGCTTTTCAAAAGTAATTTTATTATAATATTTTAAGAAAATATTAATTAATTTAAAAATGATGTTACTTTATTAAAATAACTAAATACTTTTTAACCAAAAAGAAACCTTTCATTTTACATTTGGTTTCTCTAAATTAAAGAGTTATAGTCATTATTAGAAAATCAAAAATCGAAATGATAATTAACTGCATATACATGCATAATTTATATATTTCAATTTCAATAGTTTTTTTTGTTTCAATTAATAACTATAACTTCTCGCTTTACTCTCTAATGTGAAACCCTTCTTTAATCTTTTCAAAAAGAAAAATTCAGTACGGTGATAATAGTGATCCACTTCATCCTATAAAGTTACAATAGAAAGCTGTATTAGCTAGTGCTAATTTTTTTATTAGCTAGCTAGGTGATAATAGTGATAAATTTAAATAATTTTATGGCATTGATATGTAGTATTAATTGCATAGGTGCTATACTTATTTTAAATAAAAAACATAAGGCCAAAAATAAAACTAAACTAAACATATTGACTCTTTTTGTCACAAGATAATAGACAAAGAAGTTTGTGCCCGAAACATTTTTTTGTCGGGCTCGTGCTGGAAGAGTGAGATGAAAATTGGGCTACATGATATACATAAACTCATGATATATATATCTCCTTTTTTTTTATAACTACACCTCCTTTATTATTATTTTTTTAAATTATAAAATATTGTAGTTTTAAAAAAAAAAATTTAATTTTACACCTTTAATTTTTAATTTGCTACTTTCTTCTTTTTTTTCACACACTTTTTTTTTCTTTTTTAATTTTCACATGCTACTAAAATAAGTGTGGTAAAGGAAAGGTAAAGGAATGCATGTAAAAATTGAAAAAAGGAGGGAAAATATATGAAAAAAACTACTAAATTAAATATTGTATATATAAAATTAAAAATTAAAAATATTTTAAATATTTAATTATTTTTTTCTAAAAAAGAAGTGTACTTTAAAAAAAAAAAAAAGGAGGTGTATATAACCTATACATAACCCAATTTGTTTTCACAATACTCTAAGCCTTTTTGGGCTTTAAAAAGGAAAAGAACAACCTTTTAAGGTGTGAATGTGATTCTAGTTATTTGACAAGAGTACACGTGAGTAAACGCTATCAAATATGGAGGCGTTACCCATGTGCCTATGTATCAAAATTTAATTTAGGCTCATGATATACATACTTCCTTTTTTTTATAAGTACACCTTCTTTATTTATTTTTTAAATTATAAAATATTATAATTTTTTTTAAAATTTTCTAATTTTATACCTCTAACTTTTAATTTATTACTTTCTTTTTCTTTTCCACACATTTTTTTATATATAATTTTTACATGCTATCAAAATAGGTGTGGTAAAATAAAGATAAGGGGGTGCATGTAAAAATTGAAAGAAAAAAAAGAGGAGAGAAGATATGTAAAAAAAAAAGTACTAAATTAAATATTGTGGATGTCAAATTAAAAAATTAAAAACAAAAAAAAATATTTTAAAATTTTAATTTTTTTTTTAAAAGGAGGTGTACTTATTAAAAAAAAAAAAAAAAAAGAGGTGTATTCCCCAATATAGAATGTGTTTGAAGGAGAACAAATTTAGAGAGATATAGCTAATAAAATTAACTGATTTTTTTTAATATGACTAAAATCAGTTTTTTTTTTTCCTTATAAAAGTGAACAGAGGGTGTACTTTATAAATGAAACTACATCAAAAGACAAGGAAAACCATATTGTGTAATGTTTTCATCTAGAACCAAATTTTCTCTTGCAAGGAATACACGTAATTTAGACTGACAAAAGATATTTTTTCTAAACTATGGGGTATAATTTAGATGATACTATAACTTATTAGTGTACTTTCCTTTCTAAATTGTCTAACAAATTATAGAGACGTTAAATTAAAAAAAAAAACTGCTTGAAGTAGTTTTTTATTTTATTTTATTAAGACCTATTTAAACAAATAACTTAATTAAAATCTTCATTCTTTAATAAACTCTTATGTAATAAGAACTTATGATATAAGTACTTAAAATTTAATAAACTCTCGTATTTGGATACACATGTTTATAAGCACTTATATAAGTTTAAAGTACTTGTATGCATTATTATTTAAACTTATAAAATGTGATTTCTCATTTCATAAATTAAAAAATAATAATTAAATCATGACTGAAAATAAAATAAAATATTTTTAAAAGAGTAATTAAATAATTCTTAAAAATAATATTATATATCATAATATTATTAAAAAATTACTAATTAACATTCACCTAATTTTAGTTAATAAAAACAAGAGTTAATAATCAAAACTAAAAACACATTTATGTATATAATCATGATTAAAATTTATAAATCATACATTTGAAAAATTTAAAATCAATTTTATACATATCGTAAAACCATGATTAAAAAATTTGTATATATATCAATAAAAATGTAAAAAAAAAAAATGGAGGGAGAGAACAGAAAATAAAGAGGCTCGAAAATCTTTGGGAGGAAGAACAAAATCAAATTATACAATTCAATTTTTGATTGAGGAATAAAAAAATAAAAATAAAGCTATTCAAAATTCAAACATCGTATTTTTTATAAGTTTTAGCATGAGTTGAGTGATATGCTATTTTAAATAACTTGTAAAAATAAGTTCAACACATCTTATAAATTACTTATAAAATATTTTATTAATTTTTTTAAACACTCGTAAGTACTTTTAGTACAAAATAAATATAAATAAATTCATCGTAAGTTTATAAAGAGACCTAAATATCAAAATTTTATCCCCACATCTACTTCCTTTCATAATTGTTAAACACTAACCAGCAATGACTTATTCCGATTGGGCCTTTGGCAAATAAATCATTGAAACGCCAACAAATGAAGAGACTTTCGAAATATCGTCCGCTGATAAAAATAAATAAATAAATCATCGGCTGAGATATCTAGCACTCTAGCAGCATGTTTAGAGTCATTTATAATTTTAAAATCAATTGTTGTTTAATTTCTGAAAAACTGATAAAACAAATAATTTTTTATAGACATCATGTGACAGTTCTATTCGAATAGGATATAACTAATATGGAGAGATAAAGCTTATTCTAAGTTTAATTTTTTTATATCCGTAGCATATATAAGGACTAAAATATAGATTTAATATACTTATTATAAAAATCAACCAGAAAAATTATTCTAAATTTAATTTACAATTGATTAGCAGTGCACATTGTTTATCCATATATTATTTATTCCAAGTTAAATAGTGTTACTATAATATAAATTTAAATAGATTACATAACATTTATGATATTTGGTGAGATTGCACTGACTTTCCTGATATTTTACTCTCATACTAATCCTCTTAATTATTTAAAAACCAAATTTCAGAGTATAATTTTAATTTACTCTTTAAATTTGGCAATCTCAACCAGTCAAAGTCATCTCTGAGATGATTAAACGAGAGTATAAAATTTCGAAAAAATTTGTGTATAAAAAACAAGAACAAGAAAATCAAAGCTAGAAGACGAGCCTACAATCGAAATTTAATCGAATTGACATAACGAAGTAGTTGGCGAAACAATTCATCACAGCTAAAAATTCATCGAAAACAAACGGCGAATCGGAGATTTGAGACGTGAACATGAAATAGAAGCAGATATAGATATATGAATAGTAGCAGGAAGCATGTTAGGGTTGAAGAGAACAAACACAGTGGCTAGGGAGCGGGAGTTGGAGGCGGAGGAGCAGCGGAAGCATCGGCGGGAATAACGAGCGTCCAATCGGGAGGAAGAGGAGGCAGAGGATCGTACACAGTAGGTTTCCGATTTATATCCCATGGCTGCGTCTTCCGCGGCCGCGTCTTCCTGTGATGCGCCGTCGCTTTCTTCTGAGGCCGAGACGAACACACTATCGTCAATCCTCCGCCGCTTCTCTTTCCAAACCCCAATGCTTGCGGCGGAGCCCTCACCACTCCGCACCCGAACATGTTCATCACCGACGACATTTTCCTTCTCTGCTTCGCGCTCTCGCCAACACTCGTCCCTTACCGCTTTATCCTATCCCTCTCCGTGTTCTTTCCAATTTACCAATTTACCCCTTTCCTTAGGCCCACCATCGTGTTCAAGCCCATATAACACTCACAAACGCCCTAAATGATTTGGGCTTTTCTGGACCCTTCGTCTTTCGCAATAAAAACACTTGTATGCTATGGTTATGGTAATATACCAAATAGGTCTAAATCAATTCTATTCTTTGGTATGAAAATATCTTAACCAAATAAAACTAGTATATAAAGAAAAATTACATACACAAAAAAATAGGTATTATAGAAGTTGTTCTAACATGAAAGAACACTTCTGTAATAATTTAGTGGCAGTCTTTCTAATCTATAACATTTAATATGATTAATGTCAAATTAATGTTCATTAAAACTTAAATTTATTTTAAATTAATATAATATTTTATTTTCCAAATTATCCTCTTTTTAAAATTTTCATTTATTATTAAATTATCCTCTTTCGACCTAGTAAATACTTAACTCCCTACACAAAGTCGATATTATTTTGGGAGAGTATACAAGTCCCTAACCTAAGCATAACGTGCAAGAAGAATATTAAATTCACTACCCTTAAATCAAAATATTTTCAAGAAAACACATAATTCTCTAATCTTGAGCATAAAGTGTCGAGTTCACTACCTCCAAGTTGGAATATTTCCATGAAGGCACACAAGTAATGACACCATCTTTTAAATTTCAAGTTAGTTACCGAGTTAAAAAAATGGGTAAAAAGAATCCTAATAGATCCTTAAAATAATTCATGTGTTGTCTATTTGATATCTTTATACGGTTGACTAACACTCCCAAAATAAAAAAATATAAGCCTGCCTTTCTAGTCATTTAGAAGATGCTTTTCATAGTAGTCGCTTTGTGTCCTGGAAGGAGAGGATTTAGTAATTTTTTATTAGCAAACCCTAAAATTTTATACGAAACAAACATTATGGAACATTAAATTTTATTTGTGTCTAGATGGTTAAACAAATTTTAAATTTCCTTGTTCGTTAATTCATTAGCTGTTATCAACAATGTTTAAAATGGGCGCAAAGCCGCAAACAAAACTCACTTAATTACGGAACATAGCGACAGAAACACGAAGACACCCCTTTGTGACCAGTCAAACTCAAAATCAGACTTATGATGTGAGATTTTCCGTTGAGCAAAAATTAAAATACTAGAAGACCTTTCTTTTACTCTTCCCCAATTACCATTCTCTACTCTAAATAAACATTAGACCCTACAGGATAGTTATTATATTTTATACGACGCAAATAACGTTACAATATTTTAATTTTTTTTTTCTCTTGCAACATGGATTAGTTTTATTTACCATAAGATGTTAATAATTTAAGAGGTGCTTAGTAGGTGAGACTTTTTTTTCATACCCTAAACTTGTTTAATAGGTAAAATCTGTTTAGTTATTCATTTTTTTTTTTAAATATTCATATAAGATTCTCAAAAATTAAAAATTTTCATTTTTAGTTATAATAGTATATTCTTGGATATATAAATATTTTTTTAACAAAAATATTATTTATTAAAAAATTTCAATTAAATATATTTATTTGTTCAAACCTTATTACAAATATGACATTAAACTTTCTTTTGTGATTTAAAAAGTTAAAAATTAGAGTTAAAATTATTTAAATACAGAATTAAAAAAAGAAATAAACAAAAAAATGTTACCTTATAATTAAAAAGGATAAAAATAATATTTTATTTTATTAAAAAGATGTTAACAAATATCACTAAAATATAAAAATAAAATAGACTTTAATAATACTAGTATTTTAATTTGAGTATTTATTATATATAAGTAAAATTTATATTAAATTATATACAAATAAATATTATGTTTGAATATATAAATTATCTTTAAAATATATAAATAGATATTTAAATATATAAATTATATTTTAAATTGATAAATAATTTATGTTATATTATAATATTATTTTTATTTGTTGATAATTTATTTTATAATATTAATATTTAATTTATAAATAATTATGAAAAATAAAAATTGAATTGAATAAAAGATTAAAAAAATCTCTAAAAAAAATTTCATTAGAGAAAACATCTAAAAATGTTTTTGTACAAAATAAAAATTTATATTTAACATATATGATTGATTATTAAAAATAATATAAAAAGATAATAAGATACAATAAAAAAAAAATAGAATAGAGATATGAGATGGATATAAAGAGAGGAAAAAGGAGAGGGAGAGGGAGAAAGGGGGAAAGGAGTGAGAGTGAGAGTAAAAAAGAGAGGGAAAAATTAAAAAAAAATAGAAAGAAAGAGAAAAAAGTACTTTAAAAAGATAAAATTTAATTTTTTATTTTTTATTTTAAAAATATATTATGATATTTTATATAATTAAAATTTTTCCCTTAATTAAAAAGTTAGGTTCCCAACTATATATATTTAAGATATATGATTTATATATATTTACAAAAATATTTTTTTAAAAAAAATAGATATTAAACATAAGAAACTAATATTTTTAATTTAAGATTTCCAATAACTTAAAAGTTCTTCCTACAAATCGTCCGATTAATATTTTATCCTAATCAGACAGTCCTATATTGTCACATCATTTACCATTACCTTTTGTTTAAAACATTTACCTTTACCTTTATTTGTCTTAAAACTGTTTAAAGCATTTTACCTTTACCTTTATTTGTCTTAAAACAATGTTAATGATTTAAGAAAGATAAATATTAATCATTTTATTATTACCTCCCTGAAAGCACTGCTATAGTATACATGTTATATCCTACTTATATAATATATTTTTGTCTAGTCATTTATGTATACCTTAATTTATTTGTTTTAAGAGAGCTATAATAATTTGAATCAATTCATGTTCATCATTTCGAATGGTAGCACGATTAAGTGTTCTTTTGACCTTTTTCATAGTTGAATAAAAAAATAAAAATTTTAAATTGAACAAAAGATAAAAGAAGAAAAATTATTTATTTATTCACATTTAATTTAATCAAAATATTGTAAGATAATTATATATTATGTGAGGAATAAATTATAAATAAGTTTAATAGAGAAACTTTTGAAATAATTGTTATTTGATGAGAATAATAATTTTAAGGAGTCATAAATACTCAATAATTAATGTGAAACAAAATTTTCTCTCTAATAAAAAATTATTCTCTTAAACTCTAATCATTATAGAAGATGGAGTTGGGGATGACAATAGGGCAAAACATGGATAAATTTCATTGTCCTTATTCTCGTCCCATTCTCATATTTTATACCAATCTTTATCCTCAAATTCGATGGGTATGAGATTTGTGTCCTCGTCATTTGTCTTTATTAGGTGTTGAGTATGTGTGTACCTAGCTCGTATCCACCAATAAAATAGTTAAATATTTTTTTAAGAAAAGGAGTATTAAAAATAATAATTTCAACATAGGATAGCAAACTAACAATTACAAAATTACATTAATTTTCATTTGACATAAATTTAAAATAAAATAAGGATTTTATAAATGTTAACTAATTTTTTTTAAAAAATTGTGTTTCTAAAAATTTAAAGCGAGTATAATTACAAGTATGGGATAAGTATATACTCGTCACATCCCTATACACAGTTTAATAAATCAAACACTGTTTATATTTGTACTTAGTTAAACATAATATATTTCTTTCAAAATTAATTAGAATTCGAATATTATCCATGAATACATATTTATTTATGATTCTTATATATAGAAAATAGAAGGAGGATCAAATGAAACAAAAATCTTAATTTTTCAAGATCAAAATACTTTAAGGTTTAAGAAAATTCTTTGTTATATAAAAAGATATACACAATAGTACACTACACTATTTCTTTCTTCATTATGTAAAAATCATAAATTTTAAAGGTTCTTTTAATTTTATATAATTAATATTCTAAAAAACTATAGATAATACAAATATATTATTATTTTCTGCTTCTTTCTTTAACTCAGCATAATATAAAATAAAAATTTATTAATATCTTAGTCAAATTAAATTAAAACAAAATGTAAATTATGAACAAAACTCATAATTGTGTCAGTCACATATTGCATGATGTAAAAGAGACTTAAATGACTAAACTTCATATTTGGCCTCCCAGTTTGTTTCTAAATGTGAAGCAATAATTAAAAA